TTGCCCAGCAGCGATCGAAAAAATTGTAAGTAAATTCAGTATTCATCCTTTGCCCCGGTATCCGCGATATCCCTCCGCAGAATTTTTCACGAAGAGCGATGGATTACGTGATTATTATATATTACAAGGCGCGCTATCGTAGATACCGCTCAGCGGAGAGCTCTGTTCGACCGGATTTACGAGCTAACGTAGGCATCGATTGCGCTCGGCCGACAGTCGATTGCGAACGTTGGAACAGAAGATAGAGATTTGAAGTTGCAACAGACGTCACGATCGACACTGGCTGGACTATGTGAATATTGTTTCTTTGCAGATAGTTAAAGCGCTGCTGCAAACGGAATGCAAATGTCACGGCGTGTCCGGCTCTTGCACCGTGAGAACCTGCTGGCGAACCTTGCCTAGTTTTCGTCAGATCGGCGATGCCCTGATGAAAAAGTATTACAGAGCCAGGCCCGTGATAGCGATTACACCGCCGCCACCCCCTACTATGCAGGTAATTTCCATAAAAGTGGGTCACTACGACGATCCAACGACGTGCAACAGGATTGCTACAGCCTCGTCTCGCAGCATCTCGAGAGGATATTTTCTTAGGATGTTTGAGGAGATACACGGGGATAACGCGTGTTTCTAGTGTTTAACGCGCAATCGATGTGCACAGCAATTTGTTCACAGGAGAGTGTTGCTTTTAACGCGTCGCGGATCCTGAATACTTACACTGGGAGCGGTAATTTCAGTTTTTGAACAGGCTTGATGGATCGGAACTTTCTCTTTCGGGATTTTTTCACGCGAAATGTTTTGTAATTTGTAGTTTGGTGATTAGTTGATTGAAGTATTATTTCGAGTTAGCTTTGAGTCTTGAATCATTTTTTCCCATTTTATTGGTAAAGCTGTTATAGTAAAACTATAATTTTTCCTCTCTGATAACGAAAGTTCTTTTATACGAATATTTTGGAACACTCGAAGAAAAGAAGGAATACTGTATGAAAAGTAAATTCGATCGAGGTGCTTCGGAGATTGCAATCGCTAAATTGTGATTTTTTCCAAATTTTTCGAACGATTTATCTGTTCTTTCAGAGTTTAGATACGCTGCATTCGACGTCGGCAGAGATGGTGCCGATTTTAGGGAACGACGCGAAGACTCAGGGGAAACCGAACGACGTTGGCAAGACAAGGCACGACCGGCAACCTCCAAAGAAAGCCACGAAACCGAGAAGGCCACACTTGGTGCTGAAGAGAACGAAATCGAACGGTGGATCGAGCGTGGGACAGAAGAGGATTCCAAAGAGAAGCGAGCTGGTTTTCCTCCAGCCATCCCCTAATTACTGCGAGCCAGACTTGGCGCAAGGCAGTCTCGGAACGCAGGGCAGATACTGTAATCGCACCAGCAAAGGTGAATTATGTTAAATTTCATTCGACGAATTTAATCGAATCAAGTTTACCTAAAAAAGAATACGTTACTTTTCGAAAAATATTATTCAGCTTGATGAGCTGAAATTTTCCTAAAAAAGAATATGTTATTTCTCGAATTAATGGCAATTCCTATGAAACAAATGGAACCTCTTTCTGTTCTCTGTAGCATACAAAATTTCTGCACCAAATTTCTTCCAATAAAATGAAAGAAAACATTTCTTTCTCTATTTGACAAAGTCACTTATATTTTTTTCACTTTATGTATTTTTAAACATGCGTAACAATATGGTACCTTGGTCTCTCCAATTTTAAATCAAACGTAAACTTCCTTTCATTTTTCCTACACAAAAGAAGAAATTTGTGTTTGAAACCATTTAAATTGCTTATAAAAATTGCCTCCTACCCCGTATCTAAGGAAGACAATTAGGTGGCCAGTTTTACGAGGCCCACCGAGCTCTGGTGCTTAAGATCGACCGTAAAACTCGTTAATATTTCAGGTACCGATGGATGCGATCTGATGTGCTGCGGCCGCGGCTACAACACGCACCAGTTCACAAGAACGTGGCAGTGCAGATGCAAATTTCATTGGTGCTGCCGTGTGCATTGCGAGACGTGCACAGAGCGTACCGAGGAGTACACGTGCAAATAAACTGTTCGAACTCGCGATCTCGCCGATGTAAATATTTTCATGTGTAGATGTAACAAGCGGCGAAGAGATTTGCTCGGCATCGGTCAAACACGCGAGATATCACTCGCGAGCCGAAAATAATCAGGCCGCGAAGCGATGTTTCTCTGCCAAGTTAACGCGCTTCCAACAACCACGATCGACAGAGCGAGCGTTCCCCTTTGCGATTGATAACATCGACTCTAGATTAACAGATTTCACCGCGAGCTTTTTGTCAAATTCTCGTTGTTTAACGTAGGCGAAAAATAATAGTAATCGTAGAGATCTTACGTCGAAACGTGAAAGCTTCGAGATATTAGAAAAGCTCGAGTGATCACTTTGGAAGTGTAAGAAAGACGAATTCAACGCTGAATGGATTCTTTTCACGATTAAGCTAATTTTAATTCACCATTGGAGAACTTCTCGAAGGATCGAGCGAGTTGTTAGAGCGTCGCGAAGTTCAGAAACGGCGGACAAAGGTGTAGCTGATTTCCCAGCGAGGATAATTACCTCGTAAACCCGAGGGTGTCGAATCGAATGAAAATTCAAGCACGACGTGTAACACCGATATTACCTTGGTACCTGTTACACGATTCGTCGCCGACGAACGGGTAATTATAAGATACGCGAACCTCCGATAGCTTCGAAACGTATACCTCCCGTCTCTCCTTCATTCGGGTTTCCCAAGGAGCGTTTTATGATTCATTGTTCCCACCCTCGTTCAACCCTACCGAGCCCGTTCCTGCGTAACGAAATGCATATTTAAAGCGAAACGATGCTTGTAAGTAGCTGGACTTAATGTCGAGAATACGAGTAGCGATAACACGATAAGACGTAGGAGAACCGACGATCGACGTATCGTTCGATCTTTCGCTATGTAATTCTCTGTATAAAGTATAATATCAGTTCGTTCGTATAGATATGAGAAAAGGAAAACATACACTTGGAGTATAGAGGTCCGTAAGGTAGCTAATAAACGTTAACGAACTCCTATCAATGTGTGCATTTACACGTATAAAAAACTATCGCTCGAGACGATTACTGTTCTAACAGAGCCCAGTGTGGTATACAGGCTTAGATAGAAGTAACACGTAAATTATTATTTATTAAAGAGCGTTTAAATTATAAAGGTAAGCAGTGTATTCGCTTTCTACTCGACGACTAATAAATTAGAATCGCATTCTTCTTTTTTCTTTTTCTTTCCTTTTCCCCGAGCTGAGTCGTTATTATTCACCCCCTTTTCTCGCGACCGCGTGCTCCCTCCGGTTGGGGAAACGACCATAAAGTGTATATGCGCGTGACGAACGACGCGTAAGCTGGAGACAGAAGGATTAATGAGGGCGAAAGTGAGTCAGGTATTTGGCTGGAAAGAATAGAGGGGGCGAGATAATTTTTATGAGACTTGTGACCCAGGTAAACGGGCCGTATACACGGTGTACCAAACGTCGGCAATGATTGACCTGGGCACTATATAAGATGGCGAACCACTTGGGGATATTATTTTCGGTGGTAACGCGAAACAGCGCGTTTCGGAGAGTGGATACTTCTGAGCAGCTAATTTGATCGCGGTTGAAACGGTGAGTGCATTGTTGAAATACTCTTTATCGACGGTAGGACACTAACGTGGGGAATACCCAGTGGTTCGAGAAGTCCTTTTTTATATTTTCGTTTGAAAAATATCGTTAGATTGAATAATTGGTTCAAGTGGTCCAAGAAATTTTTATTTTCATATTTTTCATATTTTCATAATTCACATAGGGTGTATTAATGTTAGTATTCAAGGGTTAAGAATTCTGTGTTTGAAATACCGACACGTGTCTATATAATTGTCACGTATATTTAAATTTTTTTAAAAGAAATTTTTATATCTATCGTGCCCTCTTTATTTCAGATTTTGCGTTACGGTTATGTCAGCAATGATTCCGGGTATGCAGAATCATTGTCATTACGGACCGACCGAGTATCGTATCGTGCCAACGCCGTTGCTGGCATTACCGCCGAATCACGTTTTACTGTTCTGTCTTTGCCCGTGTGGAATGCACAGGACCCATTTTACCATCCACCGGAACGTTCTGTTCAATCAGATGACCAGAAACCAGTCGATAACGCAGCATATGCGAACCCAACCGCACATACAGAGGCTCGCGGAAATGCAACTGCAGGCTAGATTTCGCCGATCGGTAAATCGAAAAGAAAACAACGGGACGATAGAAGTGGTCAACGAGGAAGAAGATGGAATCGATCGATGAATTTGCTAGGATCCAAGAATATTTTGTGTATTTTCATAATAATATCACGACTACGTCTGTTACATTGCAGGCTATACCAACTAAATTAAGATGTGTTGTTCTTCTTAATCTTATTCTAGAAGATTGTACTAGAAATGTGAGAAAATGTTACAAAGTTGTTCTTTGGACTACTGTTAATTGTAATTGTTTTTAATTAGCAGTACGTATGATGTATTTGATAAGTGTTTATATTAAAAATCACTTGATATGTATAAACATAGAAAATATATTATAAATGTTGTAATGGTGTACATATGTAAGACGTGTTAAGTATAACAAAACAATATAAAACGTTCCTTATAAATACAGTCTTTCACCATCCCTCTCACAGATACCTTTCAACAATTATATTAGTATAAGATATATATATATATAGTATCTTTGTTTTAATTATTATGCTTTCATATTTTATTGCACGTACATTGCACGAAGTAGTGCAATAATCTCTATAAAGGGAATGAATATTAGTCTTATCGATTTTAAAATAGAAACATACAGTTACGAAAATGTGTATAAACCAGTATAAAAAAATTAGTTTAAATGTGTCATGTTGCATTTTTACTTAGAAAGTAATGCTTCAGCTTATCTTATCCTTACAACTAAAGGTTTCTTTAAACCTTACATTCGTGCTAGCTATTTTAAAAGTTTTTTAACAATTTTTGTGCCTCCTGTTTGGCATCGTGATCATCTTTATTTCGCGCGGAATATTCAGCGGTCAGTTTTAAATATTTCAAAGCTAATTCCTTTTGATTCAATTTTAAATAGGTTTTTCCCAACATCAGTAAATTCTGACTATAGAAATTGGGGTCAATTTCTTCTGCATTTTCGAAATATTTTAATGCTTCTTCGTAGGATGAAACTGGTGGTTCCCCAAATATTACTGATGCAATTTTTCTTTGATACCATGTTAAATCTGCAACTTGATAACACCAGGTCCCTAACATATACATAAGTGTTGGTTCTTTTGGATTCAGTTCTATTGCTCTCTGCAATATCAGATACATTTGTAAATCTAACAATTCCTTATTATCTTATACTATATTATTGAATAAAGTATTTCAATCTGTATATAATATAACATGTACCAGCATATGTTTTTTGATGTTATATGATTCTTTTATTTGTGCTCTTGTTCCCTCATAAAGAGTCTTAGAATTAAGAAGAATTGATGCCCACTTGTGTGCAGCCCAATGATCCTCTTTTATTTTGAGGGCTTCCAATATGAAACTGTAAGCTTCGAAAATCAATTTTTTCCCATCTACCTCATTGGCTGCCTTAGACATTTTATACATTGCTCTACATAAACGCCATATAATATCAACATCTCCACTATCCTATAAGAATTCATAGCTATATAATTTTATCTATCGATGTATTTAAATCTAATATAAAAATATGATTACTTTGTAATTTGCCAAAAGTTTATATATTTCTTGGTACTTTTCTTGATCATATAATGCATCAGCTTTTGCTATTAGAAGTTCCTTTGTAGTTATAACTGTTTCATTTTCACCTTTCTTTTTACTGAGGCCCCAAATACCCATTGCAGTAATTGAAGACACGGTAAATAATTTTGTTGTGAATGTACGCCGATTGCTTTTCTATTAATGAATTCTAATTAAACCCTTCTGTATAATATGTTAGTTATATTATCAAATTAGATTGCAATAAACTTTAAAAATGCCATGTAATTTCAGAAAATTAATAAAAAATAAACTATTCGAGCTTAGATATAATTGCAAACCTTTTGTGAGAATTGAAAACTTCTATGGACAAATGTTCTTTGTAATATTTTTATATCTCTGGTCACAGATAACACTTTTCTTAGCGACATATTAAATTATAGTATTTACAGTATAAAATAAAAAATTCCTACAATATTTAATATATTTAAAATTGTCTAATAAACAATTCTGACAGATAAATGCAAAAGTTCCACGTCAGAATAGAAGGTAGAATACATGTAAACTTAACATCGTAAACAGAACCTGCTCATGCAATTACATATATCGATATTAAAAATTCGATATTTTCGATTTGATCTATCGCTGATATTTGCATTCTGCTCAAAACATTTAATACAATTAATAATGTGAAATATACAATTTTATACCTGGTTGAAATATATTATACGTTTTTAAATAATATGTCGTTTCAAAATTTAAACTAATTGCATTTTATACAATATGCCTCTGTTTAGTTACATTATTATCTGATATGTTGAAAACAATATATACCTTTCCATTCAAATTATATTTTATTAAATGCGTATTATTACATTTAGTATGTGTATGCTTTTTCTTAAAAATTTATAATTTAATTCTTAAAGATCAAAATATAAATCGAGATATTTTTGTAATTAAGGTTGGCATAAGCTTCTGGTGTTGACGAAACCAAAGGAGCATTTCCATACATCGAATAAAAATGATTTTTGCAAGATCTACTATGTATTTATTCCGTGATGAAACTCTTGTAAATTCAGTTTTATCATTTACTATCAGAAACGCACATGTAAATACGTACTATATAAAGAAGTTGATTTTATAAATTCAACAACAAAAATTTCGCGGTGTTTTATCGAAAGTGAATTAAAAATTTGTAATAATTTATGGTTGAATTTTAATTACATTTCTAAAAATGCGTTGGGCTTTTCCAAAACCTCTTTACTATTACACAACCGGTATAACTATTGTCGGTTCTGTTTACTTACTAAAGTAATGTATTTACATTTTTACAGTTAAAATGTTTATTCGTAATTTGTGTTTCTAATATAGTATTGCATGACGCATCACTTATTTTATATTAACAATGAAAATATCTATAAAATATAAAAAATGTATATAAATGTGGAATTATTTTTATATCTTTATCTTTATACATTGTATTATTTATAGAGATTATCTAGGTGGAGTTGTTTATCAGACAAATGAACATATGAAGGATAAAATAGTTATTGTGACAGGAGCAAACAGTGGAATTGGTAGAGAAGTAGCTCTTGATTTAGCCAAACATGAAGCCACAGTTATAATGGCCTGCAGAGATATGGATAAATGTGAAATTGTATTGCTATTAATACTGATATTTTATATAATGTGTTAAGTTGACAATGATATTGTTAATTTTAATTATTTTATCATTGTTATTTCATAATAATGTTAGCATTGATGAAACTTTTATTTCAATACTTGTCTCTGTTTTAGGAACGTGTTCAGATGGTAATGGAAACTAGGAATAAATATATTTATTGTAGAAAATGTGATTTAGCATCTCAAACAAGTATTAGAAATTTTGTAAATGAATTTAAGAAAGGTATGTAATTATATTCTGCATAACAATTTGACGGTATATTTTAATTATATACATAAAACTAATAATTACTAACAGGGAACTATGAACTGTGTAATTTTTATATATTAAGAAACAAATTTCTTTTAAAATGATGAAATTGTTTTGGAATAGACCTATAATATAAACTACATTTTCTATTTCAATTCTAGAGCACAAGAAACTCCATATTCTTATAAATAATGCAGGAGTAATGTCATGTCCTAAAACCTATACTGAAGAAGGAATTGAAATGCAGCTTGGTGTAAATCATATGGGACACTTTTTGTTAACAAATTTATTGTTAGATGTTTTAAAAGATTCTGCACCAGCAAGAATTATAAATGTTTCCAGTGCTGCACACAAGCGTGGAAAAATTAACCTAAAGGATTTAAATAGTCAAGAGGATTATGAACCTAGTGCAGCATATGCACAGAGCAAATTAGCTAATATCTTATTTACAAGAGAATTGGCAAATAAATTAAAAGGTGTGGTTATTTTGGTACAAAGTAGTTCTTCTGTTTATAAAAGGGTTCAATAAAGAAGCCCGTTAATAATCAATTATTTTTCTTATGTCATTTAGGTACTGATGTAACAGTAAATGCAGTTCATCCTGGTATTGTGCGAACAGGAATAACGCGACATATGGGCCTTGCTCAATATTTTTTAGGTCGAATACTTATAAATACAATAACATGGATATTTATTAAGCCACCCACGAGGGGAGCACAGCCTATTTTATTTCTTGCATTAGATCCATCTGTGAAAGATGTAACTGGAGCCTATTTCGAGTAAGTTTCAATATATTTAACTAAAAATGATAGTAATTAAATACTTTGTACTTTTGTTGTAGGAAGAATAAAACGCACGATCTTACTATAAATGCAAAAAATGACGATATTGCAAGATGGCTGTGGGAAGTTAGTGCAAAATGGACGAGGTTAAATGTTGTATAAATAGTTGTAAACTTATACGAAACTTATTTAAAACTTACAATGAATTGTTTAATAATGTATTATATAAAAAGCTGTTCTGAAATTTTTAATATTAATTTGTTTTATTTGTGATTACCCTCGTACTTTATCACATCGAAATTTATGAAAAATTGCGTCATGAAAAGTAGCGTCACTGTTTTTTTGTAAAACACAAACTAATTCTATTATTTTTATCGAGAAATGTGTATTATGTATATTTTTCCATTTCTACACATGTAGGTACAAATATTCAAAGTATTAACATAGTAACTCACCGGCCCTTCGTTTCCCAACTGCGATATTCCACGTTGATACGTTTGCAACCTACTGAATGTCCTTTTTGTTTATAAAATCACATTACACTGTCTTCTATGTCAAATTTAGCGTTCACTTTAAATGTTTCACAGAATAAAAGTCACAAGAACTACGAAAACGCGTAAAAAAGCTAAAAAAATACACAAATTTCCAATTTTCAACTAATCACACGTCCGAACGAAAGTACCGAACAATTACTACTAACAATAAGCAAGCAGTTCAAATATTTTGCGCGGTAATTACTACGGAGTTCAAATAAGATCTTCAAGTAAAAATAAGCCACATAACAAAGATGTCGAATATTTTTCAAATAAATTTTAACATTTTCTAAAAATATAACATTTTTTTCTAAAAAATTATAACGTTGCTTCCTATCACAATTTTTATTATTTTACATATGAAAGTATACGGATGACACTGAACAACACTACTTAATTTTGACAAATTATATATTTTGTAAAATATTAACAATTTTCGTTATTTATTTTATGTAATATTATATTAACTGAACTATAAACTAATTATTAGTAAACTATTTGATGACATTCTTTTCTTTCCTGCAGTTATTTCATTTGAAATTAAAGCAAATAAAGTAATGCGCATGCACTTTAGCAGCTAGATTTTTGAAGTTTGCAATAAGTACTACGTAAAGGTTAAGTGACGGTATATTTATTAATATATATTACAATATGATATATATTATACGAGTCTCGTATAGTTTAACATTATTTAACCTTACTAGGTTAAAATCAACTGGCATATTCATTTGTATTTCTTTTTACAGACAAAATAAAATATGTTACTTCGAACGTGGGAATCGGTAGATAGAATTGTAAGAAAGGATGTAATAAAGTCTGGCCAGTATTCTAAAAAACCAAGCGAATCTGCCAAATGTGAAGTCATTGTTGAGAACATATATGTTGTCAACGCGTCTGTAGAGGATTTGAAAGAAAAATTTAATTCGGAAATTTTAAACAATGTAGGTGAAAAAACAGTAATTATAGGTGAAGCAAATTGCGAAATAGATCGTCAAATTGAGCGAGTAATTGAAATGATGATGGTGCTTGAAAAGAGCTTAATTACATTAAATATATTGTTAGAAGGTATTGATATGTGTTTAATTATTAAGTTTGAAATAACTTTAACTGAAATGCAACCATATAAGCCAATTTGGGAATGGACACCCGAGGAAAAATATTTATTAGCTTTAAAGTATAAGGAAACAGCTGTACAGTTATTTAAAGAAAACAGATGTGTAGATGCATTTCACAGATTTAGTAAAGCTTGTAAAATTCTCATCACATTAGAACCAATATCTGATCTAGAATTAGATGCAAAATTACAAAGTAACATTGATAACTTGAGACTTGTATTATACAACAATATGGCTGGATGTCAATTGAGCCGTAAAAATTATGAACACACAATTTCTCTATGTAGTAAAATTCTAAATAAGGAAAGTAATAATGTCAAAGCATTATATAGAAGAGGAGTAGCACATGGAAATTTGAAAGATTTGGAAAAGGCTGTCATGGATTTAAAAAGTGCTGTTAATTTAGAGCCACATAATCAAATGATAAAAGAACAATACTTTATGTATAATACAAAATTACAAGAAGCAAATAAAAAATTTGAAGATATGGTAAAGAGGATGTTTAAAACCTAAAGTATAGTATTGTTGTGTTTGTAAAAAGGAAATTTCAAAAAAATTTACGAGTAAAAAAATAAACGTTTATTTTCGTTCACAATAATTTACATTACAATTGATTTATTATTTAAAAATTACAAGGGAAAATATTTTCTACAATATATAATTTTGTATTTATATGCGACCGTATTATTATTAATTTATAACACTGTTATCCAAGGACATTTGAAATGTATTATTGATATCTACACATTACAAATATATGTTTATATTAAACAGTCATACTGTTTACCAATAAACCTTGTTTGTATTGACATTGTTTTGCATTCATTTACAAATAACACAAGCAATCACATTAATATTTTAACAAAATTTGTTAAAAATTATTTTTGCATGTCGAAACTGTTATTATCAAAAGAGATTATATTTTACACTTAAAATTATGTTAGAAAATTAATCGAACATTCAAACGGGAATATGTAATAATTAATGCAATAAATTTTTTCATTTCCTATAATTGAATCGAATATAAAATACAATACATCAAGTTAGTGTATGTCCCCAAAGTAGTTAGTTTTAAATATACAATGGCACTTTTACTATGATATAATTTTACTTGAAAAATAATTTTAAATCATGCGAATATTATTTCGAAATAGTTCACAATTGATTATTAAAATCAGAGCTGCTATCTACGTCTAAGAAACCTGCAAAAGGTGTACGAATTTAATAAATGTGTAAAATATATATATTTCTTTCTATCAAAGTAAAAGTAACCATTAACAAATGAATAAGTAATTAATGTTTTATTTAGACCACCACCATGTTGATATCAACCAATGTTAATGTGAACCACCACCATAGGAGCCATGTTGATCCCATATCATTATTAAAGAATAAAACTTTTACCATTCTTCCTTTCCTTGTCTGTTGTAAGAGAGTTGTTTTTCTATAAATTAATGCATGTAATAAAATTTCAGCAGAAACAAATTTCAGAGGAAATATTAAATTCTCTAATCTTTCCTGGTATTTTTATTGTTATTATAAAATTCTCACTTATTGCAAAAACTTTAGAAAAAGCACTAGAATTATTATTGTATTTACAATTCTTTATAAAACTGTTAACATCTAATTTACATTGTACAGATTGCTAAAGTTAAGCTTAACCATGTCAACACATTGTACGCCGGTACTGAAATACCGATGAAATTTGATATCGCTATGTGCGTCGTTTTCTTTGTTTACATACATTTGTTATCACTTCCTCAATGAAACAGTATTCCTTGGAAAATAACGTAGGCAATTGAAGAAGCAAGTTCCACAATAGATAATAATAAATATACGATGGGAGTGGATTTAGTTGATTAGTATCTCTTATTATTCTGTGATAAAAAGGATTGTATATTGAACAAAAAAGACAGTACTGTTTCTTTTAAATTATCCATTATTCAATGCATTTGTATTTGTATTTTTTTTTCTTGATAAAAAATGTAAATAGACGAAACGTTGCCGGCGTACAAAGCGTTAAACTGCCTACAGTTTAGTTGTTTACTGATGAATCTAGTGTAAGTATAAGATATACAATACATGGCATATATATATATATTTAATCGATTATATTTACATATACTATGGATTTTATATAGAATTTATTAAATGTAGAGAACACTGAATAATATTTACACGTCAGTTTATTAAAAAAAAATTAATCGATACAGTAGTAGTAACTGATATAGAATAAGTCTGGCACAGATATAATTTAATTATGTTAGTTCATACATATAGAACAATGCATAAATGTACAAAGTGTGTATTGTTAAAATTTCGTTTTAAAAATATTTTAATACATTTCTTTTTTGTGACCTTAAAATGCGCTAAAATATATATTCTCCTAATTAAAAAGATAAATATGAATGTGATAATATTACAAAATGTAAGTACTTAAGCCTAAAAATCTTGTTTACACTTTGTTTTCCTTCTTGGCATATATATCTATATAGTTTTAATACAAAAGAAAAAGAAAGAAAAAAAAAAGAAAAAAATGAAATTAAAATTGCTTCATAAACATTAACAACCCCAAAAAACAATAGCTTTTATCCAAACTATATTGTTTACCAGTAATTGTGGAATTTTATTTTTCTAACAATGTAATATTAATGATCGTAGCAAGACGAATACTAATAACAACGATTTTCAACAATCTAGCACGGAATTATAATGAAAATATGTTGTATATACATTCACAGTCACTTTAAATTAATATACTCAACTCACTGTCCCTTGTTTGTAACTTAATGAAAAAGCTATTTATGGCCTCGATATTACATAATCAAAACGATGGAAATTTTGTTATACCACTTACTGGTTTTTCTTTGTTTGTTTGTTTTTTTTTTTTAATACATCAATGTATGTTTCTAATGTACTCGAAAAAATGGAGTCACAAAGGGAATGAACATCATGTTAGCTTAGGCTTGCCATTGGCAGTGACAGTGGCATTCATCGTTGTATTTGTAGCCATTTCGGCAGCTTGAGCCACTGCTACAGATACCGATTTCTCCACAAACTGTTGGTACACTGGCTTAATCAACTGAACAGAAACAAAAAAAAGATTATATCTTTAGTAGAACAATTGGCGAGAATTTTTGCTACGACAATCTTACTGTCTACGTTACAGAGTTGAAAGATGTGGTACGAATGAATTACGATACGAATTCTTTATACTATAGAACACAGTACACGAGAGTTATCAGTTTCAATTACAAGACGGTGTGTTGCATTCGCGTATACTTCAATGAAATATGAAATTATTCGCAAAGGAAGAACAACGACCACTTTTCGTACAAAAACGGACGTATTTAGAATGACAAAAAAGAATTACTGTTATTTCTACGTTAATTATAAGCAAACGCCATACCTTTTTGTACATTTGCTCCTGTTAGTATTCAGCTTACATTAAGGAGGAAAAAAAAAAAATAGTAACGTCAACATTAAAGGCTGCATTTGTAAATAGAAAGTATAATATTAAGAAGTAACGAATGTACGTATTGAAAGAAAAATAAAATGATGTGCATAACAAATACTGACAAAAGAGGTTCTCAACTACGTCCTAAATTGACTTATAGTAATCTAAACAGTAATTATATAATTTCGAGGTATTGTCAAAAGTAGTGTCCCCTATGTAGCAGAGGTATTTCGACAAAAGTGGAGAGTAATGATGTAAAAACGAATCGTAGAAGTGCGACAATACCGACATACTGAAATAAAGAAGGTCTGTCAAAGCGTATAAATATTTGTCAAAAATATGTGTTAGTTTTAAAGCCATATTGTACAGGCGATGAGAAGAGGAGGGAGGCGGAGAGGGAATAAATGGAGATGTTAAAGTGTCGTATAATAACATAATTAGTATTGGACCAACAGTTGACACAAGCGTAAGTACGATGAATATGATGATATTGTTCCAGACCTGTTGGAATAAAAAAAAGTGGTAGATATGATTAAGGAAATATGATGAAATGATAAGCATCTACGTTCAAATACATGCTACGTACGATACTGATAAAATGCTTAGCATTTTTCATATTTTTTTTTTAGTAAGCTCTGAACTCCACAATCAGAAATTGTACATAAAAAAAAAAAAAACTAGAAAAAATTCGTGTCAATACTCTATACAAATCTCCGATTATGTGACATAGCCTTTTAATGATATGAATGATTAAGAACTGTGCTCGGTACGTTTAAAAGAAGGTATCTTATCATTTGAACATATAACATTAGCATAAATTACGGGGAGAGACATTCTAAATCTGCTTTAATTAAATAAACGAAACGAAAGTTTATCGATTCTATCGACTAAGAGGACAGCTAGCTTAAAGGATACGAATTGCCCAAGTTTACACGTAAATAACGAAAAATACAGGACTTACGTTATTCCATATTGCGTTGGCCACTTCGTCAATTATTATCCCAAGCGAGTCGTAATTACCGCTGTACCTAGAGTAATTAAAAAAAAAAAAAAAAAGGAAGAAAGAAAAGCCGTTGTAATTACAGGGGATCGAAGAATACGCAGAAAATTTCAACGTACCGAATATACGCCAATAACATAAGCGTCAGTATACAGATGCACATGATCAGGTTACAAATATTTGCCATTGTGTATAAACCAGTAAAACCAAATAGTCCGGATAAAAAGTACATAATACCAACTATTGCACAAAACACAGCTATAGTTCGGGTTGATTTAAAAACATTTTTACTCTCGTTTTGCGCCTTAAATTGAATAAAAGCTGTATCCATATCCTGTAATTAATCGATCGCACGTTAATATCTGTTTCGCCTGAACGAAGAAACGAAACGCTATAACATCAGCAATTACCAACCTGCCACAATTTCTTCATATAGGTTTGACTAAATGCTTCTCCTCCCATTTTTCTCTTATTCTGAAACGTGTGCATCGCTTTGTCCATGCAGCGTATATGTTCCGAATTCAAACGTTGCGTTGTTAAATATGGCTTCTTTGCCCCGCAAATACTGTCCATCAAACGCATATAGAACTCCCTGGCTTCTGTAACCGCGGTTAAGTTATTCGCCTCCGCGGTTGCCTAAAAGAATAAAAAACACACAAGATGCGTAAGAAGCGAGAAGAGATTTGTCGAACTACGAACAGCCCAAAGGTGAAAACTTACCACTAACATACTTTTCGGTTCCGGGAGCTCGTTCCCCTTGTAAATTTTTATATAGCTCTTAAAGTACTCCAACAGATCCCTTACTTTAACAATTTGGCCGTCGATTTTTTTCGTAACTAAATTCTCCGGTGCCAGGAGCATCGGTATCAGCACCCTCAGTTGTTCCCTGAACTCCTTCTGTATCTCGGACAGTCTGCCGTCGAAATAGGGATTAGTGGCGATATTGAGGCCCGGATGCGGCATCAGGAAGCACGAGATATCCGAGAAGCACGATTTGATGTGCTTCCTTAAACTTTGCAACTCCGGATGTTGACTGTCGGAAATCTCCAACCTTCTGTCCAATATCTTTTGTCCACCGGTTGCACCGTATTCCGCCTCGTAAGGATAACTCCAGTCCCTCACCAAGAACTGCAACTTCTGGAATGGTGTACGTTTCGACTTCTGCAACGCTAGCCTACCGTACTCGGTGAAAAGTTGCAAATGCTGAAGATCGTCCTCTTGGATGTTTTGCGACAGATTGTAAATTTGTACAGAGGACAGCATCGTGCTTAGGGCAAACACAGTCGCGCAATCTTTCACCGTCGACTGGCTATCGAAAGCACCTTGTGTATCCATTAAAATCACAGCTACTTTTTCACCGTCCGGCAACGTGTCGCAGAAAACCTTCGACCACATTAATATGCCGGTTGTGTCCCTTTCGGAGCCACCTCTCCATGAGAATCCGCTCAGGGGCTCGTCTTCTTTGCCCAACCAGGAATCCGTCTCGTTATTGTTATTGTACTGTGCGTGTTTCAATTATCGGAACGGTATAACACACATTGGTCCGCGTGTAAGCGTGAAAGAAACGAGAAAAGAGAAAAAAAAAAACACAGAGAGATATAAGGTATAGATTGAAAAATGTGAGAATAATGTATGCAACTAAATAAACGATCATTTATAATTTTTCTATTTTATATGCCACTTTCGGGTATTTTCACTTTTACGAACAACATACCTTACTGTTCATATATCGCAAGAAAAAGTCAAGCAGGAAACTTTTCCCTTTTCTGAAAGCACCTGCTACCGACACAACAACTACACTCCTATCTTTAATATCATCCTGGAGGAGAATTTTTTCCAACGCTTCTTCGTTTAACTCAAAAGTGTGATCTGGATGAGCAAGTACAATTTGTACGGGTTGTCCTAAGTCCGATGTTTTATTGGAATTATCCTGACTATTCTTTGAAAGGCGTTCTATTCTTTCTTGCCAACCCAATTGGTCTATAGTGAAGTACACAATTGAAAAAATATATTCATTTAATCACATAACATTGTTAAAGCGACGGATGTGGAATTATTTTCTATTTACACGCTGCTCTAAATTCATTCACTCGCTAAATTTCTCGCTCCTCTTTATTTCAAATCTTTCGGTAAGTAGTTTTCTTTTTCTTTTTCCCCACTTTATACGTCATCGCGTTGAGAAGAGAGACTATGTTTACCCTTGCGTCACACGTAATCTCAAATATGCACATAACATTTGTTATTCACTCTCAACGAGTGTAAAACCTTATACTCGTCAGGATTGTAATTTTATCACCGTGTATAAATTACACGAGTATCGAGTTTTCAATAAATTACGTTCAACTGCACTTGGTACTGAAGATTTTGGCCGCTCAAGATCTTCGCACTTCACTTTTCAGATGCGAAGAATAAGGAGGGGAAAATTTTCTCAAAATCTTCTCTTTCTTTTATGAAAAAGTGCAGAGTATGTAACAAAAGTTCCTTTAACTGTGAATTTCACAATTTATTTCAAACGTTGTGTAATTTATGCAAACATATTTATTTAAAATAAGTGAAATATGTAAATGAAATATTTTTGCAATTCGAGTTCAGCAATTTTTTTCCACACTCTATAATATTTATCGTTGAACAGCTCTCTGATGTAAAGTGAAGAGACAGTAGAGTAAGAAAGGAGGGGATATAGTGGGGGGAAAGCATCTTGACGACCTTGAACGATCAAAATCTTCGGCCCTGACTATAAACGGAAAGAAGAAAGGAAGGGTGACGCTTGGAAGCCTTGATAGAACTGATACCACCACTCAGGCACATGAACCGACGCGAGGAAGTGTAATTTATTGCACGCAGCAGAAAAACGAACTACCTAGGTTTATGCTTGTCTGACTTATGTCACGCGATTCGATTCAATTCGTGGATTTGTAGCAGAGATACTGGATTTGAGCACGGGCTAGTCTGGTGGACTCTGACAAACTCGACGACATAATTTTCATTCTGTTAGGTTTGCAATTTAAAAATTTTCAAGACTGTTATTTTTGCAATTTAAGAAATTTTGAACTTTCCGTTATTTTTACAATTGTAAATACTTATAAAACTAACAAATGAAAGAGGCTCTATTTACCCCACTTCATTTACTTTAGCTCATCCTTATCCTCAGATCAATCAACGAGATTCTAGCGATTCGGGGCTTAGCCTTAAAAGTAAAGCAAACATAAAATAAGAATTCTAAATTTCTCAAAACTTGGCCAGATTAACGAAGACTTAAGGTCGTACAAGGAGTTGCTGGCAATGATTTGCAGAGATATAAAGTGAGCGTGTGGAACGATAAAAACGTTGACGACAATCGGAAGATTATCGCGAAATTTATCAATTAACGACGACCACTTATCGAAGCTGCTACTTGAATACTGCAACGTACACTGTAACTCGTAAGTGTTTGCTCGTCTACTTGTTTCTCTTTATCTCGAAGCTGTGATAAACTTTTCGAAAAAATTAAATCTTCATTTTAAACAAAGCTTACGAAACATCTGAAATCTTTCGTTTCTGTTTCAACTCGTTACTTCCTCTTCTATTTTTCGAGACGAAATGCTACCGGGTGAAGAGCTGAAATTTTCTCTAAGATCGTAACTCATCGCGAAAATAGAATTGCAGCAACAAAATTGAAACGTCGTTCTGTTCTCGAAGACCGACTTAACGTTTAAAATAGTACGCGTTGCAGCCGATTCTAGATTACAAGAGACTCGTGTACACTTTCGTTTTCCAGCGTAGTTTCCATGGTACGTGAGTGCTAGTAGAACGCGAGAAGCTACGTGGAAATTTCTCACGATTCGATTTCCAAGCTGTTTTTATAATTGACGTATTCGCGCGAAACGAACACGCGAATTTTTCAGGCACGGCACTGTGATTACGAAGGTGTCGCTTTTTTGTAAATGTGGATTTCCGTGACACAGTTATTTTATCTACCACAGAAAAGCCTCGTTTTAACGGGGAAATCGAGAGTACGGTGCTGTATGATTGCGGTTTATCCCTCGTTAAATGACCGATTTAGAATCTTGCAACGTTCACTCACTGTTGTAACATTTACGATACAAATGTGAAAATTAATAAATACTCTCTTCGAAAAGGGTGCAGAAATAATCCAAATTCTTAAATCACGCAGATCCAGAAACATTTCTTAAAAAATTTCAACGATAAACTGACGACTGCAGTTCCTGCGCTTCAGGTCGAACCAATTAAATTCTGCTCAACAGGTAGTCGAAAAGAGAAGACTTAAAATAGTGTGAAAAGTCGAAGAAAACAGTAAAAAGAAAAGAACTTTCCAACAATGTAAGATAGAAAAGCACGGTTGGATCGAAAGGCGCGGTTGGATCGGGACAAGCAGCCCGCGTTAGCGAGCGTTTCAATTTTCCATAAGGAAACGTCTTCGAAAGGAGCCCCGAGCGATTGCTTATTGCGAGCGAACGACCAGTTATACCCGCGCGAATGTGCTTTTGCAACGCCAGGTCTCTCGTCATCGTCGCCCAGCGAGATACGCCATCCGCAGCGCCGCATCGGTGCCTTGCAATCTCGCATTTACGCGAATCATTACCGCATTAAACTCGCGAATACAGGGCGCGTCGAATTTCTCGTCTGGAACGGTATGAGAGAAGACGGGAGCGGAGAGACCGACGCGGCGCGGCGGGAAAAACGAAATACGAGAATTTAATTAACTGACGCGACGCGTTGACGCGCGACAGCCGGAAACGCGGGAAAGAAGAAGGAAACGGTGGAAACGCGACTGACTAATGCAATTGCCCTAGTAAGAATGTGCCTTTGACATATTTATACAAGGGTGCTCCGGATGAAATTTAACGCTACACCACCGGTGGTCAAAGGTTTTTAGATTTTTGAAAGGAGAGCTAATAATTTGAAGTTTGTTGAATTGAGGAGAATTTTCGTACTATGGAATTTCGGGATCTTTTGGTGTTTTTTAAGAGGAGTACTGAAATTGTAGATATTATAATAGTGCATACCGGGTGTCCGACGATTAACGAAGGTTCTGTTACGTTAAGATGAAGGAAGATTGAAATTTTTTAGAGAGCCAATAATTTTATGCTAGTTTAATCGAGGAGGATTTTCGTACTGTGGAATTTCTGGATCTTTTGGTGTTTTGAAATTGTAGCTAGTAGTGTATACAGGGTGTCCAGTATATCGTAGTACAATCGACAAAAGTTAGGTTAAGATGAAGGAAGATTGAAATTTTAAAAGCAAAGAATTTTAAGTTAATTTAATTAAAGAGTTTTTAGTTTGTAAAGAGTGATTCTGGAATTGTAGCTAATAGTATACACAGGGTGTCTGGTAAATCGTAGTACAACTGACAAAAGTTAGATTAGGTTAAGATAAAGAAAAACTGAAATTTTGAAAGGAAAGCTGATAATTTTAATTTCTGGAATTTTTAGTACTGCGAAGAGTTTCTGAAATAGTAGCTAATAGTGTATACAGAGTGTCCAGTAAATCGTAGTAAAATCGACAAAGCTTGGGTTATGACAAAAATTGATTATTTCGTTTATGCTTTTAATTACGTAAACTCGTTACAAATCGTATCCAAGTGACTCGTCATTTCGATATTTTAGCAATTAGCAATACGCAATAACAGATTCGCACTAAATGAATTTGCAATATCGAAGACTACGTTTCGTTGGAGGTGAAAGGAAGAGAACCGATAAAAAGTTGTAAAGAAGCAAGAAATGATCTCAATATTAAAACGGGAAAAAACTTAATTATATATTGGAACAAAGATCACAGTCTTCAGACATTTACCGGAGAAATAATTATTCAATTAAACGAACCGTCCTGCAATTATACATTTATTAAATACTTCATTTTAACGAATAATTATTTCTTCACAAATTCGCAAAGCTTCTTTGTAGCTTTAAATAAATACTGGAAAAAAGAAATTTAAAAATTGACGCAGTCTCTGCACGAAATGTTTCCATTGAAACAGGTGAAAACAGGTAGAGAGTAACAATTACGTAGATAGCTCGTATTGACGAGTTTCATTTCCCACGACGAATAAAACCGATTCGAACTACGCACGTATGTATCAAGTATGAAGAAACAAATTAATAGGTGTCACTGATACAAAAAAACAAAAGAAAAACACTGCAAATTGCCGCCGCGACTGCGTAGCGTACACGTGAAACAACACCGGTGCTCTATCATTATTTCCTTCCCCCCGTTGCGTGTTCATGCACCTGAGGTGACACTGCTTTTTGCGTGCGGCTGGAGATCCACTTAGTTGGTGAAAAAAAAAAAAAAAAAAAAATAATGATAACCCAATGGAAAATATCGATCAGCCGGAGGGAATACAGTCTACGTCTCTTTCTTCGGAACACGCTCTGCACGTAGAGGAAAGAGCCTTGGATAAAACGCATTTCCGTGTATCAGTAAGAGAGGAGAAAACATTCTGGATCAAAGGTGTGTGTGTGTGTGTGTGTGTGGTGATCATCGGTGACGCACTTAACCGCGAAAAAACACAATGAGATGATCAGCTGAGGAAAAAGACTCACCTTGGTCTTCCCCTTCATTTTGGTACACCCGTGAAACACGGTTCACGTTCTCGTCGAGGGTCGTCATCGGTTGTTTCTCGGCTGAAAAACAAATTTTTCCAACGTTCCTTTTAACCTGTCTACTCCTATCGCGACTCGTATCAGAATTTAACTAACAAACGAGAAATTTCAACCGTTTGCACTCGAAGGTCGATTTCCTATTGGGAAGGAGAGAATTGGAGGTTTGCTGAATTGATGAAATTTTGTGAAATTAATAATTCAACGTTTAATGCACGTTTATATTATGCAAGAGTTTGTAACACGGTTCGCCCGAGTTTGGTTCATTCAACACTGTTTCACTGCTTAAACTTTCTAAAATATGGCGAACATTTTTCACATTTTTTAAATTTGCTGTCCTGGAAAATGTCTCCGTTAATTATTCACTAATCGATAAATATGAATGACACTTCTCGAGTGCAAAGGGTTAAATTGAGCCAAAAAAAAAAAAAAAATAGAAATAAGAACACAATCACTGCATACAATCAAACATCGCGAGATCCGCGTAAACAGGAATCGAAGATCGCAGCGACTTGAAAACTCCTCTCAAGTTTAACGCCTCGACCGTTCGTTCAGCGTTACAATGAACTTTGAGGCCTACATTCCGTTAGGCAAGGTTTCATTGCCGCGAATCTGTTGCGTTCCCGAGTTTTTGGGCACGCGCCAATTTTCACGAGCAAGCCTTCATACACATTCGATTAAGCCTGAATTCTAGTCGCTCTCGAAAGCTCGTTACGCGCGAATAGCCCTTCGACGTTTCCCATCGATGGACTTTATCATCCCGAAACCACCGTGTTCAATTTTAAGCGAGTTCTCACACGTCACGATCGTATTTCGAAAATTCACCGTTGCAACAAATCGGTCGAAAATTTCACGAGTTTCCTACAAATTTCCAAACCACAGTGACACTCTATATTTCCATATCTAACATCGTCCCGACGTATGTACATCGATTATCGCGAGAGCCCGAGCTTTTGACAACGAGCCAATCCTCCCGCCGCTTTCCCAACAGCGGAAAACTTCCTCTCTCGATCGTTCACAAGTGAAAAACTCCTCTTCACCCAGGGCAGTATGATCATTTTTAAATCCCACGGCATAGTTACGACAACAATATCTCGTCCCCTTTCAACTTTCTCCCTAAGTGTCTATCTAGAGTGAAACTGTTAAAAATTCGCCGCGATAAACACGGTCGATCTGATTTTTTCGTTCCCGCAATTAAAACTGCCGCCGCGGCTTGCTTCGCGATCTCGTCTATCGTCGCGATCTCCCGCGAAATTCCTGATAAAACACCAATCCCTCCTCCCTCTCCCGCCCTTTCCCAACCGGGAAGCAATCAAACTTTCGAATACGATTAAACGAGCGCTCTCGGTTCTAGCGAGCATTTAAGCTGCTTTCACGCTAACTCCTCTCGGCGCACCGCGTTTCTCGCGTCGATCGATAGGTCCGTGGTCGCGAGGAGCCTGTTGCGTCGACCTCGTCCTCGGTGGTCTGGTAGGTTCTTTGGGCCTGCTCGACTTGTCCTCCTGCCATTTCCTGCTAGCAGCCGGTGTCTTTCTCCTCTCGCTCATCTTCGTCGTGGGTGATCGCCGTTGTTCACTCATTCACTCACATTCGCCACACTACAGGCAGTTTGTTGTTGCGTACGAGCAACCGGTTAGAAAAAACGGGGAAAACCGCGAGAAGATAACGAAACGCGAGGAAACGCCAGGAGGTTTTCTCTGTAACACGGCAGGCAGACACACACATAAGGTGCTCGACGCGCACACGATCGAGCACTAAACTCGAGCATGGCAGTCGACTAGAAATATCCTGATGTCAGGCCCGATGGTTAGGCTAGGCAGCAGCGGTGTGTGGCAGCGATGAGCAAGCAGCGCTCACGGACCAAGAGTGGAGAGATCGCGAGTTGGCCTGTGGTATTTGCCGACACAGAATCGCGACGGATGCACCGGTGAGAAAACTGGACATCGTCGGTGTCACCTTCTATATAGAGGCGTAGGACGGCCGTACACATGGCCTGATATTACGCGCCGCGGATGGTAATTAATGAAGGAGGAGATCCGCTTCGAAGCCGCCACGCCAGAAATAGACGCGAAAATTCCGGGCATTTAATAATAGATAGTAATTGTACTGATCTCATTTCTAGATTTGCAGCCGAGATTTGGCGAACACGTATCACCGTTGCGAGTTCTCGATCTGCGGGCTGTGTATACAGGGTGTACCTGGTTGAGCGTAGCCAAGGACGTTTTTCAGAGTTTCTTTCGAGTTTGTGGGAAATTGGTGTTTGACGGAGGTTCAGCTGTGTTTTGGTGTTTGCGATTGTGTGGTGAGTGCTGTCGGGGAAATTTCAAGATTTCCTTTGGATTCTGGGAAAAGTTGTTTTGGAGGGAAATTCAACTGTATCTTTTTATATGATTACAGAATGTTCTAATAGGATAAGTTCTATTGTCTGAGAAATTTCAAGATTTTCTTTGCACTTTATGAAAAATTGTTTTGGACAGAAATTGACTATTTTCTGTAAGATTGAACAGCACTCATCTGCAGTGAATCTTTTCTAAAGAAAATCTCTTTTGAAAAAAAAAAGATTGCAAATATTTAGAATTCATTTCACGTCGCCATAACAGCGCCAGCGGAGTGCAAAGGGTTAAGTATGCAAAACTTCCGCAAAGCCAGAGTTCATTAATCTAAATTCTTCTTAGAAAAGGAAAAAAACAAACGTTTTGTTTTCGAAACGAAGCCGTGACATATTTAAATATCTCTTGTCGGAACGAATCACGATTAATCTAAGAATTATACCCATGTCGCAAAAAACAAATATCGTATAAAAATCAAGGGAAGTTGCGCAACGCGACGTCTTTAAGCGTTCGATTGCAATAAGCGGCCTGAAGCGAACCTCTTTATACAGTGTTAGTCTCGTAACACGTGTATACGTGTTAAACTTCTCACAATTCGTTCTAGCAGAAAATATGCAAAAAATGAAAGATAATATTCGTATCTGCAAGAACAATACAGATAAAAACACTCTGATTTCATGCTTCAATTTTCGCAAAGTTCGAGGAAAATCTTGAAATTTCTTCAAATTTCGCGGCGACACTTAAGCGAGACACCCTGTATACATTTTTCCTCGGACCATGATCGCGACTTTAACGTTTCAGGTCTGTTTCTCTCGCTACGGCCTCTTATTGGAAACGCAGATGAGATTTGTTACGACTTTTTTCGGTTGGCGGACCTTTGGTTCCGTTGCCAAAGAAGATCGTAGGTATTCTGGGTTTCTAGATCTAGGGGGCAATGAAAGCTGGCCAAAGCCAACTGAAACAGGGTTAAAGTCTGATCGAGGTAGAAAAACCGCGATAGAGACTGATAATATAACGAACAGCAACGTCTTCACTTTTCACAATTTCCGTCACGAGCCCGAAATGACGTATTTTCTACTATTTCTGTTCACGAAACAGGCCACCTTAGCTTAATGAAAGATTCTGGCACATTGAAAATTTCTCGTGGCTATATTAAGTATCTGAACGTAGTTAAATTAATCGAATAACTCAAACGTTCAACTTGAAAACCTCACTTCGTACTATCGGGCAAGATTGCAACAAACAATAAATATTAATACCGCGTGAATAATCGTCGGCGACGTCTTCAGAGACGTGTAATCTTCCTCGTCGATTTCAACCAAGACAGAAAAGAATGAAAAATAGTTGTGAACTTTCGTCCCACTTTTTGCAAAATAACGATAAGTATTTAGAGAGTCTGTCGAATCGATGATCGTCTCAACGGTTACAATTCCGCCATCGATGTTCGCCGATGGTTGTTTCGTCGCAAACGACCGGCGGATAAACCGGAGAAATACAGGACCAGAAGTGACACTGTTCAAGTTGGATATTACAGAAGCGAGCAAATTACAATTTTTCGAAAAATCAGATAGTTGGCATGATTTTAGCCACTGAGCTAGACGGTCTCACGTACAATTTTACGCACGACGTCTATTTTTAATTTTCCCTCCGATTTCACGCAGGCCGAAGGAACGCGGAGAAGAATCGGCGCACCGTGTATGCGAGCGTTTTCCCCGTGTCGCGCGGCGATCGATCGAAGGAATGATCGATCTGCTCGCGTCACGCGTCGTCAGGTAATAGATTAAACACGCGTACCGGCTGGCGAAGTAGAATACACCGGTCGTGCATAGTCATTGGCCGGGAAAGCGGTTGCAAAAGTGAAATCGAAGGAGAAATAAGAGAACGACGAAAGAGGAGAATCGTAAGTGCTCCTTTTTCTTCCGGGCGAAATTACGTAAAACGACACACGGCTTCTCGATAACGCGTGAATAATTGTCACGCGTTTCGAATGACAATCGCGGAGGCAGGAGGACAAAATGCGGGATGATGCGTGTGACTCGACAGATAAAGAAGAAAACGGCGGGAGAAAAAAAGAAGAGGGAGAAATGAAAATTTGACAAATACGACTGCGTAACTGGACAGCTACGCAGTGTTTGCAAATACGAACAGCTCTTATCTTTTTATCGTTCGTTTCGTAAGCGAACAACGCGAATGCACAACGATGCAATCGATGATGTCACAGTAAACAAGCATTTAAGCGTGGAGATTATTCGACGGGGGAAACAAAAATTTGCGTTGAATGAAAAATGTGTTAGGAGGATCTACCACGGTCTACATATACACACACTTTCGCGTGTTAAAGAGCACGTGATCATTTCTCCCCTTTCTCTCTCGCGCGTTTCACGTTTGTCGAAATTTTCCTTCGAACATCGGTATAAAAATGATATTTTCATAGACGAATGTTTCAACATGACTTTGCATACAGACGGCGTATTGTTCGCGGTTGAACGCTCCCGACCTTTGAGCTGTTTCATTTTTTAACGTCGTAAATATTACACGTAATCATCACCGGTGTGACGTTAATTTAGCTCCGAGCAGGTAAAAAGAAACGCAGGGGATTCGAGTTTAATTCGGTACGCAGAGAACAGAGGCTATTTAAAGAGATCTGTCTTAACGACAGAGTAAGGCGATTTTATCCGTTCGAAATTAGATTCGACGGTGTAACAAAAACACTGAGGAATATTACTCGGCAATTCTCGAATATGCAATCACCGAGCAAATTTGCAATTTAAACTTCCTGCATTTCACTTTCGGAAAAAAATGATTTATATCGAACACAGTATAACTCGCGTTCACAAGTATATTAAGACACTGTGTGTGAAGAAAATCTGAACAGTTATTACATAATTATTGAGACAAAACAAAAACTATTCAGCCTGATATCTCGTTGCCAAACTGTTACACACATTTTTGCCGATATGTGCCAGTAAGTCTGGCGAAGAAGTGTGTGATTTAACCTCCAAAAGTTTTGCGACTTAACCTATTTAATCCTCCAAAAAGTGCAATTTTCTTTCGCTATTTTCTCTCACCTTCCACGCTGCGCTGTCCTTTCTATTTTACAGCAAAAATTTAAGTCACGGCGTTGTAAATCAATGAGAAACTTATTTCTACACGCCTAAGAAATGTTAAAAAAAAAAAAAAATGAAATTTATCATTTTTAACAGAACAAATTGACAAAAATCGTTCGATATTCAAATAAACTTGTATGTCCAC